GGAAATATGTAATATCACAGTTTTACTTCATGCAAAAACAATGTATGTATTAGTTTGGCGATATTTGATATCAAAGTTTTACTTCATACACAAACAATGAATGTATTAGTTTGGAAATATGTAATATCACAGTTTTACTTCATGCAAAAACAATGTATGCATTAGTTTGGCGATATTTGATATCAAAGTTTTACTTCATACACAAGCAATGTATGTATTAGTTTGGAAATATGTAATATCAAAGTTTTACCTCATACACAAACAATGTACATGTATTAGGTTGGAAATATGTAATATCAAAGTTTTACCTCATACACAAACAATGTACATGTATTAGGTTGGAAATATGTAATATCAAAGTTTTAATTCATACACATTTAACACGTACATTGTTGGAGTATATAGTAAAACTTTGATATCACTGGTTTTGATCATTAATTCATAGATTCATATAATGATGATAGAAATCACAATGTCAATTTTTTTCAAACACTGACCCCACCTTACAGTGAGTTGATTGCTTAATATCACATGATACATGGTGGAATATGATATTAACAGATCATGTTTTCCTGTCTTTTTTATCTATCGAAAACCTAAAGGGACCATATAAAAGTGTTAAAAGGGCTTTGCACAATAAAAGATATGCCTAATATTATTATATATTTCAGGCAATTTAGGAATTGTATCAATTTTTTAAACCTAAAAGGAAACATACACTTAATCATATTTCTAAACTCAAGACATCTCAATAAAAACCACCTGCTACATGTATTTAAAAATTCAAAAAATAGATTGTTGTAAAATTCTGAACCATTAGATTTTAGTAAAAGGTCTAGAAATAATATAAAACTCTTGAACAGCTGTTCAGTTTTATTAGGAAAATATTGTCCATAAAATCAATTTTGACTTAAAAGTCAGATTTGAATTGTGTCAGGATTAAAAAAATTATCAAAAAAAATCAAACTTGAAGAGGTATCTTGAATTTGTTGTTATTTAAATCAATGTAACAATATGAAAAAGGAGGTTTAAATTTCATTTTAATTTCTAATGGTAAGATATCAAATTTGATCAAATTTTATCTGATTAAAGTATAAATAGAACTTCAAGAGGCTTTAGGAACATGAGGTTTTCATTTAATCATTGTAAAACTTTAAAAAAAATATATAATAAAATCATGATTTGTGAGTAGAGATTAAATTAAAAGACACTGAATATGAAATTTCCACTGTATCATTGTAAAGTTTGAATTATTTGAATAATAAGAACATGAAGAGGAGCAATATTCTATTGTCAACATGGGCGTGATAAGGTTGAAAGATTAAGAGCAGGTGGGGGTGACAGACAATTATCGGGCGCTGGGCCGGTAACAAGGGCAAATAGCACACAAAACAAGGGGTGGACCACTTCCAGCCTGATTGATGGCTTCATTTGTCTTACAAACAGATAGAGATGAAATATGGAAATATCCATTAGCATAGAAAAGGAAGACATAAATTGTACCATATCAAAACCAACGGTCTTCCTTCTGTTTTAATTACACCAGTTAAAAAAAAAAAGATGTAAAAATCACATGCTCTAGTAACTATAATGTATTCCGAGTTTAAAAGTACATGTCACATGGACAAATTCGTTTCCTAAATGATCATTTGTAGGTAACGTTTGTTTGAGATCTGACAAGACGGTGACAGGTAATGATAAAACGATAATTATGATGGTTTTAAATCAATATTCATCGGACAGTAGCATACAGATCAAAGAGGCGAGGAAGAGGCTAGCTCGGGAAAAGCCATGTATTACAAACGGTGACATTAACACCAGGTATTCCGTCAGAAGAACAGACGGGCCCTATCACAGGTTAACAGTGGACATTCGAGGCTAACAATAAGTTGTTTAGTGATTGATGGGTCAGCATCATACGAAGTATACAGCCATCAGGAAGTCCAACTGTAGCAGTATTCCTCAGGTTTAAACGCCCATCAAATAGTTAACCTTACTTGTTAGATTTCGTACTACGGTGTGACCATTCATGGCTGATCTGCGATCTTCTTTTTCACAAACCTGGGCTTGTTATGTGGGATGCGATAATCCTAGGAAAGCTATAAGTACGTGTAAAACATTAGCTTACTTGCTATTAAACTTGAAAAGGAATATCCATATTTTTGAAGGTGCTGAAAAAAAATCAGCCTATAGCCCTTGGATGCCAGAAAAACTATACATACTGCACCGCGAAAAACATTGGTCTCACAGCAACGATGACGACATACACAAGAGCTTGAAACAAAAATCGTCAGCTACTTTAACTTCAATATCTATCATTTTCGGAAAAGTGAACAATTTGATGTGATGTCACCCATAAAGACAGCCAATCAGAGTTTGCTTTATAGTTAACAACTTTGGCTTTTCATACAAGTCCTACACATAAAGACAGCCAATCAGAGTTTGCTTTATAGTTAACAACTTTGGCTTTTCATACAAGTCCTTCTGATGATTAATTCTAGTGCAGTACTACAGAATATTTTCATTTTTGAAACAGGCTAATAAACGACAATACTGACTAACAGCAGGACAAATAATAACTGTTGGACATCAACAGCGTGCATTATCTGTTCAGCGAACCATTTTAAGAAATATGTTAAATGTTTACTTGAGTTATTATTCATGCGATCTGTATACATAATCACCTTGTTTTTAATACTTCCCATTTCTACAAAGTGATTCACAAAAAATAATATTTATCAATACTTAAAATCAATCATCTGACTTACAACATCATGGCAACTAATTATTACGGCATCTGTCCAAACAGAAATGCCCCCATAAATTTGTATTCCAGAATATCAACAGTTAAAAGTTAATTCCTACAAAATGCCTTTATCCTGTTTTAGAATTGTCAATTTACACCCATATTAGTGAACTGATGATAGTGTGTTCATTGACAAATTAGAAAACAAAACATAACGAGATACAAGAACAAGAAGATTTCAAGAAGAATTTTCACTTTCCATAAAATCCTTCATTGATGTTTTCAGCAAAATTATAGTACATTTACCTTCCGTGGCAATTTGAAGTACAGTAGTATCATTTTCTAGGAAAAACTTTTTTTATTAGTCTTTAATAATAAATCTATATCTTAAAATGTTATGGATAAATTCATTTTGAAAGATTTAAATTGGCATGTACCATTGATAAATTAATGCTTTTAACGGACGAATTGCAAGATCATAAAACATTGAATTTTGTATGAGTTTAAAGTATATTGATAGGAAAAGGTTCATCGAAATATTTGAAAACTGAAATTTGACTCATAAGTGTGGTTCAACCTTCCTGATCGTTTGAATGCAAATGGAGATTCCTCCGTTTATCCTCTACGATTTAGAAGTCATATGACCAAAGCTCCTCAACGAGTTAGACCAAAATAGTTAATTTGGCCCAAGAACTAAATTATCTTGTATTTTATGTAGGAGAACGATAACATTTCCCCATTATAGATTGGCATACATAGACAAACACTCAAGTTCACAAAACTGACCTAAATTAATGGATTGATGTTAATCCAAATGAAATAATTTTACATAAAATATGAAACAGTTTTCCACTATGAGTTTTAAATACAGTGGATTTAAACATCCAACAAACATCTTTAGCAACAAAAGATAGACGATATTTAATATTGTTTTGACAGGTTTTTTCTCTTTTTAATTTGGGATCAGCCTTAAGCTTTTTGTTTCATTTTTAGAAGCAAATATACCAATTGGGAAGGACATTTCATGAGTACCTCAACTGCAAATTTTGGGAATTAGGCATAAATATGAAATAGTTTCAATTTGGAATGGGGCCCAATATCCGCCCCAAAAGGTTCCCAGAAAAAAAACGTTGAAAACCCTATAAATCACAACTATGTCAGAACTGATAGCGTGCTATGCATAAATGGAAAAGAAAGTAGGTTCTGCCAGACAAATGCAATTATAAGCAGTATTCAAAACAGGAAAACGATGAATTTTCTATGATCACAAACACAAAATATTACTGTATGAAGAAGGTGCGGGGACTAGAAGCTAAATGTTTCATGCCGTAATATGGTGAAGTCAAGCTTGATCAAAAGCCGTGGGGGGGTGCCACTTTGAATATGTAACTTATGTAACTCGACTTCTTTCTGCTATTATTACCTGGTAAGATTTTCTTCAATTTTGTGTCAGCAGTTATGCAAGTATCTTAGTAAACACTTATTATACCTTCCCTGTTCAAATTTCTGCATCTACACAGAACATTGGCAGCTTTGAATGCAGTAAATAGAACTGGTCAATATAAAATGAATATTTTTCTCTGAGTGAATTATATCAGATAGATGGAATTTTTATATATGTCAATTCCAAAAAACAGGTAATTCGACCCACTTGAGACAGAAGCATAGAACACTGGATTTCTACCACAGTGGTAACCCAAATTTCATGTTGAGTTTGCACCAATATGTAGCGGAACTGAACTGGAACGATCGTCAGCGACCAGGTAGAACCTCCATCTAGAGTTCGGAGGGTCCCAGGTTCGAACCCTGGTCTCGCCGTACGCTTTTCCTCTCCTATTACAGTGGTGCCTGTGACTATAACCCTTGTTTCAAGCATTTGGTGTAAGCTTGGCAAGGGGAACCCGAACCTGGGTTGTAAATAGTTGCGTCTTCGCCCGAAGCAAACAAGGAGGGAGGAATGTAACAGTAGTGGAACTGGACTGGGTCGATCATTGGCGACCAGGTAGCTCAATTGGTAGAGCGTCTGTCTATAGAGTTAGGAGGGTTCCGGGTTCAAACTTCGGTCTGGTCGTGCATTTTCCGCTCTTATTACCCTTTTCAAAACATCTGTTTAGATAATAACTCCACAGTTACAAATCAAAATCAACCCCATATTTGCAACCAAAGAAAAAGGTCACTGCATCCATGGATCTGATAGACCAATTTATTAAAACATCAAAACATTTACTTATGAACTAAACAAGTTACCACTTACCCAAATCTGGAACCCTCAGGAGCCTCCCAGGCAAAGGCATTACTGCAAATGTAAAAGGAAAGCAACATGTTTAAAATTACTCGACATACAGTGGGAAAGAAAAAAATCAAACCCTCGGTAATTTCGTCATAATACAATTCTTGTTTTATTAACTTGAAGAAATTCTAATAAAACACAGTATAATATTAAAGCTAACCAAGTTTAAATTTTATCAACATTTTTTTGACACAAACCACAAAAGCATACTTTCCAACTCTCCCTATTTAAGAGAGACTTCTGATTTTGGACCCTAAAATTTAATATTTACAACCAGTGAATTTGCTAAACTATTCCTACCCTGGTATAATCTAAGATCGAATGATTTCACCTGAAAGAACAACAAAAAATTTGTAATTTTAAAGGTTGATTTTGTCTCTAGGGAGTATATATATACACACATTTTATTTCTTTTTAATTTTGAGAATGCAAAATCTTCCCCATCGAAAAGCATAATATGGACTCAGTATAATTTATTGAAGAAATTCTGATGAATACCTATGTAACTTTTTAAGAAATATCAACATTGTATGAAGATGTCAAATCATACAGAGTTGTATTTTAATCATCTAACACTTTCACTGAACATTTCCTCGAAGGACACAACATAAAATGAAAAAAAAAATGTGACTTTCATAATATTAATGCTATTCAAAGTCATGAATAAAAGAAGGTTTTCTTAATTTTTTTTAGGACTGCACTGTAACCCAGAATATCTGGTACATAAATAATACTGTCATTTTTTGCTGACAGTGTTTAGTAAAGAGTCATCTTTTACTCGGCCTATACCTGTCTCCCCGAGAACCACACTAGGTGTAGTTATAAAGTACTTGACAATGTGTATATAGTGCATAACATATTACCATATTGGGGGTGTTTTTTTTGTGTTTGTTAACCAGCTTAGCAACTAGGTGAACTTCGAATCATATATTAATGTCAATACTCCACTGATCATCACAATAGGCTAGCTGCATAGCTGAAATCATATATACAGCACTCATGTTAAATGATCAGAAAGTGCTATGTCTTCTTACAGGTTCCGATCCGATCCACAATTCCTAAGCAATTATTTCCATGCAAATGCCAGATATCAAAAATATGGTGGTGAGATGATTTATAATCAATGACAAATAGATTGAGTGATAAACGAATGTCTTTTACAAGTTGACAAGGGCACACCACTCTAAATGACAAAAGCTACAATGAATTCTAAAGTTTTCTTTCAGATTGTTTTTTTAAAGAGCAGTATTTATTCTATTTCACATACATATATAAATCACTAACTGACATGTGGACAGGTATCGGTTTTACTTTTTGCTATCCCCTTATAAACAACATTTACAATATGATACATGGTTCACTCTATGCTCAGGGAGTCTTAACACGCACCTACCACAATGAGTTTAAAATACGTTCTCTAAACCTCATGTGGGTTTTTATATAATTAAAAAAATATACTAAATAAGACAATATCCTCATTCATAATCAAGCAGGTTGCTTTCTGATTGGTCTAAATTGTCCATCAATTGAGGATGGAGGCCTCACTCACCTTGTTTGCGATGTCTGTAATAATATTATAAGTTTGCAAAGTTTGAAGACAAATTGCATTGATTTTAAAAAACAGAAGACGAGCAAGTTAATTAAAAGTTTTTCCCTTACTTAGTCTTTGCTAAAAGCCTGAAGCTGAAAGAGCTAAAATCGGGTGCAGTTTTCACATGAATTAGGCAAAATATTATCCTACAGGTAAAAATCCCACAGACAGGTGCATGCTGGAGCGTTTCACAGGTATTCAGATAAAAGGTATCGTAATTATGTACAGAACTTGACCTTGATATTTAATATGTTATTTAGTATATATTATATCCTACAATGAAATGGGCTTCTTTGAGCTCATAAGGAAGTAATTCTCACATAATTCAGACACACTGGTAGGTCTATCATTAGCATCCTACAATTCACAAATTACATATGAAACCATGCTTTAAATATTTTAGATATTTTTATTTTTTACCAATCTAAATAATAGCTTTCCACCAAAGTACAGACTATTTTTGGGTTAACATAAATTAAAAAAGTGTTTCCACTTTCCTTATGTACACAAGTTTTTAGAGCCTATAGCCCTACATTTCGTTTATACTACAGTGTGTACTTTGTTAATATGGAGCGATGCTGAATACAAAATATCCTTTCCTAGAATTCAAACTTATACAGGCTACTTTCACTTTCATTTGGAACGTAATTTCTGCTAATAATTATTGCAGTCAAACGTCTGACAACAGTGCAAACACATGGATTCTGAAAATACAATTAATACTTCCATGACCATAAATCTTAATTCTTCTTAAATACAATTATATTTTGTCATTAAATGATCTTGAGTACATTTATGTCAGTAAACAGACAATGTACACATGTTTTTATAAAGGGAGACAATCAAGGCCTTGTAGGGGGGAAAAAGAATGCAGGGAAAAAAAATGATGATACATCTCACACTTAAAGTATATAGTGTGACACGGGGCCACACAAAAACAGGTTACACAGTGGCTGTGATTGAATAAAACCCTCGTAAACTTATAACGGTGACACCTTGATTGATGACCGTTACGAAGTTTGATACACGCTTATGACTATATAGTTATCACAGGTAAAAATCATGGCTTGGAGGTGGACAATCAAATCAAGTTCAAGTAAAACAAAAGTCAATTTAACATGAATATCTGAGGCGAGCCATGTATAACGAAAATCTGAGCTTCAGGTATAGAAACAGCCATATCAGTTTGAAGGTAAATTTAAATCTGTTAAAGTCAGTGTATGAAAGCTAGTGGTATATATAATATGTACTGATAAAACCAAATTCAATAACCTGAGTAAATCAGAGAATCTACTAAAGGCAAAACCATTCATAAACTGTTTGTAAATTAAATCTTGGCTAATACCATTATCATTAAATCAGCAAAGTAAAGAAAACACAGAATAAGGCTATCTTCTACATCTGTTACTTGTTCATCAGGCAAGTTGAAACCAAATCTTACTTTCCAAATCAACTCCTGCCTTGCCTGAAAACAATGGATAATGCGAAGAAATGATACATCTCACATTGGGAAAATGATTCAGGTTGTCCGACATGGGGTCGGACCTGCCCCCAGCAATCAACCTAATGCTTAATGTTAAGCCCTGCCCCATTACACATCCATTATTTGTGTAAGAGTTGGACAGGGATCCTTAAGTATCCTTATTCCTAATTTTGAATTGTCATACACAGAAATGTTCCTAGATCAGCTGATTTTCTTAAATTGTCTTACTGTTTCAACCATCATCAACCCATATCCGACGCCACCACTCCACACCCACTCCACCCCAATCCACACCCACTCCACACCCATCCCCCATCCTCAATCTTACAGAGAGGATGGTAAGGCCAAAAGAAATAATATGTGTGTTTCATGTAGCATGCCTGCAAAAAATAAATTAAATTGGTAGGCAAATCATTCTATTTCAATTTAATTGTTTTATTTTCATGGATCAATATTATGCTTTATATCATATTTTACAATGCATTTCTACACATTACGATGGCTATTAATTTGTCAAGAATAGGGTCAGATTCCTAGATCAGGAAGAAAGTACATTTTAATGAGTGAGGCTGTGAACTTTGCCTAGCTTATGAATTAATCTTAGATACAAGTAGGTGATAACATTTCTTTAGGGTCATGCAGCAGGAAAATCAAGGGTAGGTCTGGATACCTGAAACACACAAACTATTTTGGCCTCATAAAAAAAAGTCTTTCGCCTTGAGATTTATTTATTTATTTGTTAATTTCTTAACCCTTTCACCACTGTACAGATCAAAATTGGACTCATCCAAATCAATGCATGGTAGAGTCTACTAAAGTTACATTGGGGCGAAAGGGTTAATGGCCCATCATCAACACAATAGAGACCTGTCTTTAGGGTATTTTACTAACTAAGAGTAAGTAAACCAAGTATCGATAATGCTAATTAGCAAATTAATCATTACCTGCCCACCTGAATTTTATCAAAATGTTACCTTTAAACTCTATGTAACAAATTAAGATTGATTTAAGTGACAATAAGGTGATTTTTATAGTTTTTCTCATTAGCTTTTATCTCCCTGATGTGATGGATGTTTGTATTTGACCTTTTCTGCTTTGATAGCAAGTGTCAAAACACAATTTTATAGATATTTCAACACTATTTCCTGCATTTTAATCTGAAATGCGATGAAGGAATGTGCCTGGACGTTAATCAACTTTTTTGTTAATTCGTAAATCTCAAAAGCAAAAATGATTAAAAGGTTAAATCTATTGTCAAGTGTTTGAAATTCCATTGTTTAAAATAAATTACGGGATTCTAGTGTTAGGCTTACTTGTTTAAACTTTCTGAGCGATAAAAAAGAATCTTTGACATAATTTCAGTATCTTATTAAACACTTCATCATATTGGTGAAATATTACAAATACCAGGATTTACTATTTATTTGATGCCCTTTTTTTAATTTTACTAGGATCAAATTATTGAAAGGATAATTTGTTTAAAATTAAACATGTGAATTTTATTATGTATTATCGTTATTATCAATTCTGAAAGTGGAAAGCAAAAATACCATGATATATGAAAAATTATGATATCAAATAACTTTTCAGATTAAAATCATCTAAAATCTACAAGCTCATATAAATAATGTTATAACTGAATAACCCTGTTTTCTTATCTGAAAAGAAATACTTTCAAATGTCAGAAAAGAGCAGGACAACGAATAAATAAATATATTTCTCAAAGCCGAAAATTAACATGACGTTTACACATCGATTTCAATGTTAAAGAAATCCTTTCGAAATTGGGGAAAAGAGCAGGACGATAAAATTCATATATACATGTAAAGTATTTCCCAAAGCCAAAAATTAACACGACATTTACGCAGCAATTTCACAATATCTGTATTGATACAAGGGTTTGGGTGAATGGACAAATAAGTAAGGGAACAA